CCCGCAACAAACCCGTGCTGGCTATCCCTCAGGAAGTTGCCGTCAGCCAGTCTATTAAGGATGGTCTCTTTAATAATATTTTCTAAGATCTTCCCCGGAATAGAAGTCAGGCTGATGGGCCTTATGGTTTGCCGGATCCACTTTCCTCCCTTTCTTGAACATAGGCACCACATTGGCCTTCTTCCAGTCTTCGGGCACTTCACCAGAGCACCAGGAGCTCTCGAAGAGGCTGGGCTATGATGCTCACCAGCTCCTTGAGTACCCTGGGGTGCAGATTGTCAGGGCCAGCTGACTTGAAGGTGTCCAGCCTCTCAAGATGTTCCTTCATGAGGTCAGCATTGATGGAGGGCAAGGAATCTCCCTCACCCAGGCCTCTCTCACCCAGGCCCCCCTTATATCAGTCCACCTTATTGTGGTCATTTTTTTCACAGCGCCAGTATTTTGCTGAAGCTGCTTCCTTTAATTTTTTGCCATTATTACTCATTTCCCGTTTTTTTTACAAGCTTGAGTTTATCATTTGCCTAACAGAGCCAATATATCAGTAGCCAAATTAGAATCTCACTTCTCCATCACACACATTGGACACAGAGCTGTACTTACAGGGCTCACAGTGATCAGCTTCCTCAGGCACCAGAGATATCCTGTTCAGACCTGAATGGTAGAGAACCACATGGACTCTTTTGATGGAGAAATAAGTGGTAGAGTGAGATATCTTCAATGTGACCCTGTTTATCCTTTTCCCTGAAATAATCAAACAGAAGATTTTTTTTCCCCAAAGCTCCACACCTCAGCCAGCCCCAAAACATACTAACTCTCATTTCCACCCCCCAGGATTGCACTACCAATGCTTGTTGGTTTTGTTGCTTTTGGGCTACTGTCTCAGGTTTTTGGGACTGTTCTGTTTCTCTTCCAGATGCTCAAAGCAATTGACAGGCAGAATTCCTCTCTCTTTATGTGCCTAGTATGTGCCTTTGGGGCAGTAACATGTGTCTGTCTTTGGGGTCACATAAAGGAGTTTAATGGCTTCATTTGTTAATGAAGATTGTTAATGAAGGTTGGCAGTTGTACTCTTCACATCCAAGAACATAATGACATATACCTTGCCATGATAAATTGCCCTGGGTCGTTATTGTTTGGTCTGTCTAGCGTTGGGAGTTCTTACTTCATTCTGGAATCTGGACTTTTGTACACCCTTGCCATAACAATGGCAGGTAGTATCTTAATGGGTGTTTGCCTGATGATGTGCAGCCTGCCAGGCAGCTCTGCTGAGAAATGCCAAACAGGTGAGTGCTGTTGTCTGAAATTATGAAAACAAAAAAACCCCCAACAAAACCCAGTTGTGGAAACTGGGAGAGACCAGGGAGGTGAGACGGAGTGGGTTGTAGAACCAGACATCCCTTTTAATCTAGCTCATGCTTGCTGTGGTCAAAAGTTGATTCCATATCATAGCTGAGAACTACGTGACTCTTCTGGAGTAATGTACAGCCTCTCATGTGCTAATCTCTTGTAGGAGACTTCTGGTTGGGGTGGGAGGGAGGAAAGGCATGAGGTCTGCTGTGTCCTCTTTCTCTGTGCTATGTTATAAAATGAAAGTAGCAGAGCTGCTGGGTGCCAATCCAGTTCTTGCACTTTCAGGTGGCAATATGATTTCTGTCAGGAAAAACAGCGCACACGAAGTGAGCATAGCACAGAATGATGTGGCACAGATATGCCCCAGATACCTTTCTCTCTTCCCTGTCTTTGGTAGGGTTGTCTTTAGAGTATGTACCCACTCTTGCCCTCTGCTGGAGCCTGAACTCCTTAGTTCAAAGCTCATTTTAGATTTCCCCAACTGCCTGAGCTTTATTGTGCAAAGGAGAAATTTTCTCCATGTCAGAACCTCAGGGGCCGCAGTAATCCTCTGAATATTCATTGCAAGAACAGGACTGAAATATGAGGAGGCTGAAGGACACATCAGACTGTATTCTGTGCCTTTAATCTGTGTGAGATGGCCAGTCTCTTAGTTGGCACTGGAGACTGAAATGGCAGCTAAAAGCATGAGTCTCTTCAGCTTGAACTAACGACTTCAGTTTTATAAATGAGGCTGAAAGTCACCTCCTTGGAAAATAGATTAAAAGGGTAGAGAAGGAGCGTCTTTTAAACCACACTGGACAGCGGGCTGTATTCATCCTTCAAAGGAAGGTACAAGGCAAGTCAAGTGAATCCCGAGGCTGCTCAACCATTGGGGCATCTTAGAGGCTGTGACCACCCTAGCTGAGCTGCTTTGCATCACTGGTGATTCTTTGAGCAGAGTGACCTGGTGGCGCCCATCTCCTCTCCAGCTACGGATGGCTGTTGGCTCACGGGCAGCTCACGCATCCTTTGAAGGGTCTTGTTTTTAGTCTTGCTGGGTGTTCACACACCCTTCTCACCCAGGCTAGCCCAGGTGGCAGTGCATTTAGTTGCTGACAACCCGACCATGAAACAGTCTGTATTGGTTTATATGGTACCAGATAGCAGACCGAGAGAGGCCTGGCCTGACATCAAAGGAAGGTAGTTTCCAAGATTTGTGGCTCCCACATGAGTCAGGGGTAGAGGCTCTTTTGCATGCAAGAAGCCACAAGGGTTTGATCCTTTCCCTCTGTTATGGGCTTATATCATTAGGCATCTTGGAAAATCAGGAATTGTATAAGTATGCACCATCCCCCAGTATCCCACGGGTCTAATTAGCAAAATCCTGAATACCAGCATATCTCACTGATTTTGGTGACATTTATTTGTGTTCTGCACTTTGAAACTAAAGCCATGTTTCCACGACACGCAATGATATTCAGGGTTTTTTTTATGGCATCCTTTCGTCTGTGAGAGAAGGTGGAAATTGTATCCTATGACAGAGTTTACAATGTCTCATGTGACTGAATAGTCCCATCTGAGATTTGCATGATTTGTGGCACTGGTTGCAAACGTATGCATCATGGTTGGGTGGTTTGGGAGCTGCTTGCTTCTTACAGACTTTTTTCTCTTCAAGCTGTTGGAGCCAATTCCTGTCATGGACTTTAATGGAGACAATGATGCCACTTGTTTGGATCGCTTGCCAAGGTTTCCCATTGGCCAGGATCAATTCCAAATGCTTTCATATCTCGCTTGCACATGTCTTTATTGCAAAGCTTGGGGTGTCCTGTTCTTCTTGTTCCCTCCAATAATTCCCCATAACGCATGCTCTTGGGTATATGTCCATCTTCTAATCTACTCAGATGGCCTAGCCAGCGCAGTTGTCTCTGTCTGAGTAGGGCCATCACACTTGGTAAATTTGTCCTTTGAAGAACCTCTGCGTTGGCAATTTTATTTTCCATTTGAGGTTGAGTATGAGGCATGAACAGTGCAGGTGTCATCGGGGACTCCCTCCTGCGAGGGCTGGAAGGTCCC